TGATTTTTTGGAAACTATTATCAGAACAGAGATTCATGGCAGTGGCAAAGGCAAACAATTTCTGATGCCGATGCTCAGAGATATCACCACCTATTCCAATATAATTGAAACCTCTATAAGACCAGAGGTTCGCCGGAAGTTCAACCGTAATATGATCCAGTAGATCCATGGCGACCGATTTCTGATATGAATGCTCCGACAACCCACCGCCATTAGCATGCTCTTTGAAATTGAGTTTTTTTTTTTTTTTTTTTTTTTTAGACATTTAAGTTTTAAAATATAAGGGATACTTTAGACATTTGCGTTATAAAAGTAAAAACGTTGAATATTTTTAGCATTCACACAAAAATTTGGTATTGCATTTAGAGATCCTCCGAAACCATTTAATAGCGTCTTCAGCGAACTGCCCCTATTAAACACACTAACTAGGATTTCCAACTCTTCTCAACCAAAGAAACATCAGGAATAGCTTTGTAAAGATTGATGACACAATAAATAATATAATAAAACTCAATATACACTTGGCTATAACTGCCATTCTTTATTTTTCAAAAGGGGAACACAACTTATATATACACTTGGAAGTTTCACTTTTCACAAAGAATGCCCCTACAAAGAAGAGATTTAACCTGCTGTCTGCCCACAAAGGATGAAGGCATGAATAAGGCATTGAGCAACAGACATTTGATTGGGATTTCCAGATACTGTAACAAGCCCTTCTAAGGCTCCGGGTTGTACATCGTTTACCACCACCTGCGCCCCCGAGATCTGAGATGACGATATCCGCAGTTAGTCCAATTAGACATACAACAAAGTGAAAATCAAAGCCACAATGATGCTAAGGGCTCTTATCAATATATATCAAAACTCAGGGCACTATACATAAACTCACCTGCTGGATCTGACTTAAATTACTGTTATTTTCTCCATAAACATGGCTTAACAACTTTTGAGGAATCATGATCTCAACAATTGCACTTGAATGTGGGGCTTGACTCTCACTGCTCAAATAAAAAAATTCACCTGCTGGATCTGACTTAAATTACTGTTATTTTCTCCATAAACATGGGTTAACAACTTTTGAGGAATCGTGATCTCAACAATTGCACTTGAATGTGGGGCTTGACTCTCACTGCTCAAATAAAAAAATAAAAAAATGATATATGAATGCGCACACATAATCATTAAGCTATAAAAAGCAGAGCTTTTTGATGATTTCTTTTTCCCAACTCCTCTCCTAGAAATCTAGATGTCTCATAAATGTAGTAGTGCCAAAATCATCAGGACTTATGAGATATATTTTATGGCCAATATTGAGACATTGACTAAATGATATCACTGTATATTGATACCATGACAGCTCAATTACCCTAAATCTCCCAATCTTAATAGTCACCAAAGTGGAAAATGAGCATAGACAACAATTAATAAATGAAAAAAAAGTCACCTTCCCTGAGGTCCCTTTCTTGAAGCAAAGCCTGGACCATTATCTCCAATTCCCCTGGGAGTTCCACTGCTAATCCCCTGTAAAAATACCACCGAAGAAACAAACATGAAAAATCAAAATTTTGTAGTAGGACAAATTCCTCCCATATATAACACATTTCTTGAAAAAGCACAACACGCCAACCTGAGGATTCCACATTCTTGGAGAAGATGGTCTATCATACGTTCGACCATGACCTGATCGCTCACTTCCATAAGGATAGGGAGCTCGGTCAATTTGAGAGGGAGTGTTGTGATCCATGCCATGTGAAAATGGATGCAGGTGGTCAAGCAGTTGGGATGGAACAGCCGAATGGTCAATTCCATGAGGGAGCCCAACAGGAGAAGGACATGGACCGGGGGAAGCAGGGTTATGCCTAGGTCTAAACATGGGAGGAGGCATGTCAGGGTACGCGGAAGCATACGGTGGGCCATCAAAATTTGGATGGTGTGGCTTCGTAGGAATAATTGTTTCGCGGAGTCTACTTGTTATGTGAAATAAGGCATCCTGTACACACTGCAAGCTTCCAATAACCTGCGAAAGAAATTTCATTAAAAAAATAGAGGAATCATGAAATATAAACAGTTATCCTTCTACTTATTTAGTTTATAAAAGTTGGAGAAGTACATCAGCTCATATTAATGTCTGTAAAGTGGAAATAGTACATGTCAAACAAATGATACATATCAGTATTGATAATCCAATATTTTAGCAGCAAAATGTATATATCAAGTAGACAAATACGTTGGAGATAGAAAATTAAAGTAACCAAAGTACAAGGTGGAATGAGCACTATCACAAAAAATCCACAACGTAATTACCTGTACAACTTCGTCATTTTGTGTGCCACATTTTGGGACTTGTTCCTTCGTGAATATGCGTATGCTAGCACCAGTAGCCCTTCTCATTTCAGAAATTATGAAACCACCTTTGCCCAATAAACAACCTATCTGCTGCGAATGCACAAGAAGCCTAGCAACTACCGCAGCACCAGGTTCAAAACCAATTTCTGCCGTTCGTGAATGCACACGGATAACAGCTTCCTGTGCAGGGGAATGTTTCTGCTCTGAATTCTGCAACCAAGAGAAAATACCACCATAGAACATAAGTGGTGATTGCTATAATAATCACTTATCAGAGAAGAACGTCTAGATCATTAATGCGTTAATTTACAATCACAGTTATAATGGCATAGTGTTCAGGCATGGTATAACATGTTTCTCCTGTTCAACTTAACAAAAACAAAGTCGATGCTCAGTATTCCAGGATAACTATTCATCGAGTCAATAGTTACTCACTGTATGAGCTTTCTACACGGGAGATCTTGGAAGAACCAAAATTGAATATTGGATCTCAATTCCTCATCCTCTGCACATGATCCACAAGCCACCAAATAGTAACAAAGGCAAATATGTCTTATGTCCTTAAGAGTTAAGACCACCTATGGATAACTTTAAACTAATGAATAGTGAAGAAACACGAAATGGACCTGGTAAGATTTTTGTGGTACCAAGAAAATCCGACCAATTTAATAAAATTATCCCAAAAAGTATTTCGGTAAAAGGTTATGCAAACCCCAAGGAACATGTCTTGGAGATCAACAAACACCTTCTGGCTTACTTATTAATCCAAGATACCATGCTAGATAAGGGATTATGCTCATGCAGAGCATACATGCCGCATTATAAATACAACTTTGTTTTCAGATCTTTTTTTTTTCTTTTTTTTTTTTTCCACAGGTTCTTGCAGTGTCAAGCCAAAACATATCGCATCTTGTTTCAGAAAAGAAAATAACAAGACAGAAACTCAAAGAAAATTAACCTCATAATACCTCTCGTGCAGATATCAAAACCACCCGCTCATCTGAATCCGGAGGAGCGTCAACTATCTTGATAAATGCACCAGTTTCATTTTGCAAATGTCGTATTACAGAGCCACCTTTCCCTATCAAACTACCAACCTTTTCAACTTGGCATAACAACTTAAAAACCACCTCCTCTTCTATAAACATTCTATGACCAGTCCCCATATTTTCAGGCCCTGTAACATAAAACAACTTCTTGAATAAAAATACACATCATAAAAGCCAGATGCAAAAGTCAGTTTGCGGGGGGAAAAAAAAAAAGAAAAGAAAAAAGAGCCCTAAACTGTTGCAGGTGTACGAGTACCATGAAGCAGTCTCCCTGAAAATTTTCCAGAACCCGAGTTAGCTGCATCCAACCTAGGCTTATCCTGAAGACAACCTGAAACAGATAGAAGTGCTTTCTTTACAGCTACAATATTTCCTGTTATCTGCGTATACAAAAAATAGCTTTAAAACTACCTGTAAAGAAAAGAAACAAAAAACAACAAAGTAGAAAAATTCTAAAACAAGTCAAGTCATATGCCACACGTGTATGAGCCTAAAAGTTCTTTGTTTTGGTTTTTTTTTTTAATGTTTTTTTAAGCCTTTCAAATGGATTTAAATATACATAGACATATACGTATACATATATATATATATATATATCAAGCCTTTCATTTTTTATTTTAATTTCCCAAACCTTAACACAAGAATTTTTTGCAATGTCCCACATTTAACTAGAAGCCCTCAAATGCATCCACTAAAATATAAGAAAAGAAGTTCCGAATCCGACATATTAGATAAGGAGTTCATTAGAATCAAAACAAGAGCTTATGCAATGCCAGTAAAGACATTCCATTAAGCAAGCTCTAATAAGAGCAAAGCGTCAACCACATTTTTTTTTTCCATCAAAGAAATATATAAATACACAAGGTCAATAATCTTTTTCATCTCTATATTCTTTAACATTCCAAGAAGCAATGACGCTCATATATTAAGTTGAGAGGAAATTAACACTGATTTAAGTATTCGTATCCGCATAATGTCCAGGAAAAAGACGTGGTGATTTAAAGAACAAGGAGGTTTAGGAAATCACGTTTAGAACGATCGTGCATTTGAAAAGAACAGTGCACCTTCTTTTCTTTTCAGTCTCTACTTCAAATAGAATTTTTGTTTCCCATAAAAACAACAATACCAATGATACCGATTTCCGCATACAGATACCATATTAATTGTTTTGAACTAATAACTAATGATCACATAATCATGGCTAATCTCAAATCTCACAAATAAGTAGCACCTATACATAAATTAAAAATTTCACCAATAAAACCCCATATTGAAAATGACATGTTTTAAAGTGTACTAATAGTCAAAGCAATCTTCTGAAGTGAATTGGCAACGGGAAACAATAGCAATGATTTCAGAGTCGGCATAAATTCTTTGTTTCAAACTATTGCACCAAATTCCATCACTGAAATCCCCAAAATTATCAGATTAAGCTAAGAATACAATAACAATGAAAATCAATCTTCCAAGTAAAACTGAGGGAAGAACAACTACCTGAATCAACTCGTCGCCGGGAGAGGCGCAGGGAGGAACCTGATCCCTGGATAAAACCCTAACCTGGGCCCCACTCTCCTGCCTGATCTTCTCCACAATCTTGCCTCCTCTCCCGAGCACGCACCCGACCTGACAAGTCGCCGCCAACAACCGGCACGCCACGACGGCGTCGTTTTCAGTCATCTCCTTATCCTCGTTTTCCAACGTCATCATCTTCTCGAAGACTTTGACCAGCGCCTGCTGAGCCGGCGAGGCCTCGCCCCCGTCGGAGCCGACGCTAGGGCTGGAGCTGTTGCTCCGCTGGTGTTGGTGGTGGTGGTGGTGCTCATCGGAGACGGCGTGTTTGGGCCGGGGAGGGGTGGAGTCGGCGCTGATGATGATGATGCGCTCGTCGGAGGAGGGGAAGGAGTCGTCGATGCGGACCCTGGCGCCGGTGAGCTCGCGAATGTGGCGGACGACGGAGCCGCCCTTGCCAATGAGCGCGCCGGGCTTGGACGCCGGGCAAGCGTCTCCGGCGGCGGGGTTCTGAAGGAGCCCTCCATTCGATTGCTAGGTGTGTGCGGTTTCTATGTGAAAGTCTGTGTTAGTGCTTTTTATTGTTTATCCTCATGCCCCAGGTCATTTTTGTAATTTACTGTAAACAAACTGAAAAAAAAAAAGAGGAGAGAGAGACTGTTGGTGTTGGTCTTGGTGTTGAGGTCAGAGTCATCTGCAGTCAAAATCATATTTAGCACTAATTTATTTCATCAATTTAAATTTAAAATTTAAATTTTATTATAATAAAAAATTCTCATAAAATTATATCTCGATTTAAATTATCGAATTAAACGAATTCTTAAAGTAAAAAAGATGCATAATTTTGTATTTTATTGTAGAAAATAAAATTCAATTCTTAAGTGTTAGGTCACAGAGTCGTAATAGGCCGTCCTTCGCAACTATATCGCTACCACTGATGATTAGTTTCTAAATTGATTAATATTTATTGAGGTCAGATTTCGTGCATAATCTCTCGTTATACATGTGTCAACACACGCTTTAACCAGTATAGGTCAATCACGAAATTAGCCTCTGAAACGAGTTTTGAGTCGCTCATGGCTCGCGGGTCATGGACCCTAAAACGAGTCTCTCCGACATAGAGCAACTACTCATTGAGTCAGCAGCCTCTCAATTCTAATAACACTCAGTCAGAACGAATCAAATACAACTCATGAAACGAGTGACTCATCTGACGAATCTTTTGCTAGCTGCTCCACCTTGAAATTCACAATTTAAATATAATCCCGTTATCTCCACATAACAATACTTTATACGCATCAGAGTTTCCTTTTCATAATCATAACATATTGGCGGAGCTAAGAACTTCTTTCAATAGAGGTGGGAGTAAAATTAAAATTTTAAACTAAAATAATAATAAAATTATTATTTTATTTCACTAGTTTGTTATTTTTTTAATCTAAATAAACAAATCTTTTAATGAGGTTTAATTCACTTTTAAAGTTCTACATTTTTTTTTCTAGTATCGAAGTCTACATTTTCAAATCGTGAACTTATATTATAGTGTCATTGATTATTGATTTATTTGGCAATTTAAGTTTAAAATATGAGATACTCAAAAATAAATTTTGAGATATAATTGAAATGTCTTCAAGACAACAATATAAAAGAAAAAAAATATATAAACAAAATTAATTGGAGTACTATTAAAAGGGCCGCACCCACTCAGCCTAAAGTGGCTCTGCCACTATTCAGAATTAGGAGGCCCTAGAATTCAACAATCTATTGAAAAACTGTTTACTACTTTTTTTACTGATCGGTTTATAATATTATTGGTTATCAAACCATAATTAGTCCAAGACTGTTTCATTTAACAACATTACAAATTGCGGCCTAATTTATTTTACCGATTCAAATCACAAATTAAATTTTTATTATAATATTTTTTTTATAAAAATTTAAATTTAATTTTTTATGTTATATTATTTTTTCTCGTATAAAAATGACTTTTCAATTTGAATTGACAAAACCAACAAGACTTGCATTTCACAAAGAATCGGTGCACTGATTGCATGCCACGCACCCACGCCCCTCTTACAATGTGCAATGTGTCTCTCAAGGTTCCGTTTGTAGTAATGAGGCCACGGCAATTGTAAAAGCAAAAGTAAAATTAAAAAAAGGCCCCGGTAATTGATAATGACAAGGAAAGGTCCTTTGTGGTACTAATGCTAAGGTAATTGATATGAAAGACGTGAACATGAAACGTCTCTCACTTGACATTATCAATTATATATATATATATATAGACACACACACATTACATATATTTTTCTGCTCTCAGCTAGCTAAGCTACCCATTGTTCTGAGGAGAGAGAAGAATCGGCCATTTTATTACTTTTGGTAAGCACCTAGAAGCTCGTGAAAATAACCTGAAAAATGAGTATTTAAATCATGTTTATAATTTATTATAGTATTTTTTTTTAAAAAAATATATATAAATTAAAAATAATTTTAATCACATAATTTTAATCCAGCGAGAAGCTTTGAGCAAATATACTTCTTAAAAAAAAAAAGAGGAGTTGAGAGAAAAATACGTTTTTTTGTTGTTTGGTTTATGTTTTTCATCTTCAAAGTTTCTTTCTCGAGTTGCAAATGAGTTTGCCATTTTCACCCAAAAAAAAAAGTGTTTTTGCTCATTAAATGCTGCTTAAATATGTGATTATGTTCTATGTTTGTTGGTGTTTCTTCTCTCTAAAGTTCTCTGGGTTGTAACTTCTCTTCTGAAGTTTTGTGAGGGAAATGGGTTGAGACAAAATATATTATTATTTCTTTTTGTTGGTGTTTCTTCTTCTTCAAGTTTTCTCTGTTTGCAAATGGGTTTTTCACTTTGTCTGGGTATAAAATATGTTCTATGAGAATATTATATTTCTCAAAAAAAAAAAAAAGAGTTGAGAGAAAAGTATATTTGTTTTGTTGGATTTTTTTTACATCTTTAACTTTTCTTTCTTGAGTATAATTTTAGTGAGTAAATTTTCTTTCTTGGGTTGCAAATGGGTTTTCCCTTTTACTAAAAGGCAAAAAAAAAAACTATTTTGCTCATTAAATGCGCTTTCTTTTCTCTACAAAAAAAAAAGAGAGAATTTAGGCAAAATATGTTCTTTGTTTGTTGGTGTTTCTTCTCCTTTAAGTTTAAACGGAGAAAAAAAAAATTATGAAGGAAGTGAGTTAATGCAAAATATACTTTTTTCTTTTTGTTGGTGTTTCTTCTTCTTTAAGTTTTCTCTGGGTTTGCAAATGGGTTTTTCACTTTATTGTTTGTACTTTTTAGTAGCTTTTGACGTTAGAAAGCTTAATGGGATATTGATTCTCTCTTCTCAGGCTTTGGCTATTATTCGTTGATTTGTTTTGTGTTTTCCCGAATTAATTAGAAATGGCAAGTTTTTACAGAAACATATTTTGTGCTGTGCCGGGGAAAGCATTGGAGCAAGAGTTGGAGTTCTTTTAAGGCTTTGATTTCAATCAAATGTTAGTTATGAAAATCTTTTTAGGTCAATTTCGTTCTTATAGTTGTTCATCATGTAGTTAATATTCTTTTGGGATCACACTTGAAGCAAAATAAAATAACATAAAATAAAATAAAGCTTAGAAGTATGTTTTCTAATTAACATTTTTCTTCTGAACGGTCGATGTGTGCTAGTGTTGGTGTGTGTTTAGGATGTTTTAGTTTTTGTACGTCTGTTTAAGGGAAGGAAGGAATGAAGAACAAGCTGCTTGCATGGTCTTAATTTTATATTTGTAGCTGCAAGAGTAAAGTTAAAGTATTCAAATTCAAATTGGCCGTTTCGCAACGTTTTTAAAATAATTTTATTTTTAATACAAAAGTAAAAATGAGATTATTTTGAAAATTATTTTAGGACCGATTCTTAAGGGAAGGAAGGAATGAAGAACAAGCTGCTTGCATGGTCTTAATTTTCTATTTGGAGCTGCAAGAGTAAAGTTAAAGTATTCAAATTCAAATTGGCCGTTTCGCAACGTTTTCAAAATAATTTTATTTTTAATACAAAAGTAAAAATGAGATTATTTTAAAAATTATTTTAGGACCGATTTTGAAATTACGTTTGGTTAGTTTTTTAAGAAATTGTTTTGAGTATAATAAAAAAGTAAAATCATGTTTGGTTATAATTATTAATTAATATATTATAACATTGTACTAAAAAATAAAAACAGAAAAGAAAAATAACTTTTAATCATTTTTTAATTCCTTTACAAAAACTATTCTCATTGTTTTTTGTTTTTGTTTTCAAAACATTTACTAAACAAATACGATTTGCAGACCATTTTCATTTCGTGCCTCAAAAAACATGCAAAAACATTTTAAAAAATAAGCAAAAATCAATTCCAAAACACCCATAATTTTTTCATTTTTTTTTTTTTTTTTGCCTCTCTCCTCATTTTATTTTTGTGGTAGTTCTTAGGTTTATTTTTGTGGTCTTAATGAGATTATTATCTTTGAGGGTGACATGAACATTTAACAAGTTTTGTTATTATGACAGGTTTTTCTATGGAAGCTGAAGCATATATACAGTTATAACACTTATTTAGGATCTGAGCATGTAAATAGTCACAACACTTATTTGGGATCTGAATGATTATAATTTTCAACGTCGAGATTCTTATGACCCTTTCACTTAATTAGCTTAATGACATTCATTGATACATGCTAGCTTGCCATTTTTGCAGAATTACAATATGATTTCTAAGCAATATTTTATGCATGAAGAAGAAAAAAGTGATTTGATTAGCGGGTGATAGATATATTATTTTGGGATATTGTCCTTTGCGTATCAATAAAATTTTTGTAACTGAATTTTGATATGCATTTTTCCCTCATCTTCACATTATGTTTTCACAGGCGAATTAAATGAAATGGGAAAAGCTCGGTACTTGAACGATGACATATTCTTCAATGTGCTATCTCAGTTGCCTACAAAGATTTTGGTTGGATTGAAATGTGTCTCTAAAGGATGGAAGAGCCTAATTTCCGATCGTCGTTTCATCCAGGCTCAGTTAAGAAAGACAGAACTCACTGTGTCTGGATTCATCTTCCAAGAGAAGTTCCAGTGGTATGAGGAGGACATCAAGACTGTCAGTTACATTCCGGTCGGAAAGGAAAGTTTCGAAGTGAAGCAGAGTGTCTTTGATTTCCTTCCCGAGGATATCGTTGTGTTGGCGTCGTGCGACGGTCTCGTTTGTTGCAGGAGTTGCTTCCCTACTGAAGATCCAGCCATCTACATTTGCAATCCCGTGAACAAGGAATTCGTTACGTTGAGATGCGCGGGACTCGACAGAGATAGCAGTGTAGCCTTGGCATTTGATCCATCTCAAGAGCTCGTGGACACTAGTACAAATTTCAAAGTGGTGAGGGCTCAGCAATTTGAGATTGAAGAAGGAGAGGAGGACTTGTACTTCACATTCGAAATATACTCTTCAAAAGCAGGGGAATGGAGGAAATCAAATGAGATTTGCAAATGCAATACGAGTTTGTCAAAAAACAAGGGCATTTACATTGGAGGGATATTGCACTGGCTAACAGACGGCGATAACATCCTCACATTTGATTCAGAAAAGGAGCTATCTTGGTTGATCTCCGTACCGGTTCCAGCTTCGGAGTTCAAGAGCATTCCTCAGGCGTGCATCGGAGAATCCGACGGTCGACTTCATTATGTCATGATCTCTGAAGAAGGGCTCCATTTGTGGTGTCTTGAGGATTACTTCGAAAGCAAATGGGCACTCAAGTACTCGAAACCGCTGAGGACGATGGAGAAAGAGCATCCGCGGTTGCTATGCAACTTACATGAGAGAGTGATGAGCGTTTACGACACCGAAACGCCATGGGTGAATCCCTTGGCTTTTAAGGATGGGCTGTTGTTAATGATAGTTTCTGCAAAGATCTACTTATATCACTTTGAGACAAGTAAGATGCAGGTGGTTTGCGAGGCTTTCAAGTTGGGTTCGAGCTCCATCTTTTTTCCAACGGTACTTCCTTACTCCATGAGTTTGGTTCCTCTCCTCTCAACCGTTGATGATAGTGTAGCTGGCAATAAACTAACTAACTAACTAACTAACAGAAACACAACAATTTGGCTAAGTTTGAGGACTTTTGGGAATTTAGAGTGCTTTAGTATTAGTCATCTTTCTAGAAACTTCTTTGAATGTTTGCTCCTGAGATGTTTTTGGTGATGTAAAAACTGATATGAAATTTAGCATGCTAAGCAAAGGAATTATTATTTACATTCTACTTGTTTGGGTGCTGCTAATACTTTTTTAGGAACTCTAGTGGATAAATTAGACAGCAATCCGCTCCAGTTGAAGATATCAGGAAGGAAACAAAAGGATATATATACACGTGTTTTGTGTGTTTGTATGTATGCATATGTGTATAACTATTATTCAGACCCATGTATGTGTTATGTATATGTCCTGCTATAATAATCTCACAAAGTACCCTTCACTCGGTGCCTCACAGGGAGTACAAATTAAGTAAATAAAAAGTGACCAAAAGATTAAGGCAGCTTAAAAAAAAAGCTATTAAGTATTTGACGTACCTATCTTGCGGACCCAAACTGCGTTCTACTGTGACTGCGAGATCAACATAACTTGTAATGCTCTAAAATTATAATCCTACTAGTATTTGACTAATTCTGATTCCAAGTTAGGGAATGTCCATTTTGCTATGGCAGTATGGATTGACTCATAGCAGCCTTTGCCCTAATCGAGCAAGACAAACCCGCTCCTTTTTTATGGGTTTCGGATCACCTTCTGTTGGCCTACCCAATCCCGCCCCGTTTTATAATTTTTCCTTTAATCGCATATTACTTGTATATTTTGATACTTTTATACTTTGTTTTGATATTTATTTGTATTGGAATTTAGACCTTAATTGTTTATTCATAAATTGTTCCATTGTTCGGTTTTTGTTTCTTGTTTGTTAATTGACACCTTAATTGCTTTGAGAAAATTGCCTTTTTTTTTTTCATTCTTTTTTCCTTCTTGTAAGTCTGTTGTTGCCTGTTTGAACTGTTTGATTGTTGTTTTTTTTAACTTCTCGACTAATGACAACATTTATAGCTCACCATGCCAAAACAAATTTTTTTTTTTTTTTAAAGAGAATATTGTATCTGTAATTCAATGAAAAATATATTTTTATACATCAGATACAATAGGTGGTGGAACATCTTCCAACCACACCATGTCTTCTTCTAGCCTTAAGACCATGCTAAGCTAAACCATGTGCTGCAAAATTAGCAGACCTAGGAACATGGTTAACTAAACAGTTAGGGAAAATAGCAAGAAGGCATTTAATGTGAGACACAAGGTTCCCAAACTCAGAAAAATTAGGAGAGTTGGAATCAATAGCATTAATAATATCTAAGGCATCACTCTCTATAAAATTAAGTGGCAAGACTATTTATAGCCCAAATGAGACTGTGATTTAAAGCAGTTGCTTTAGCTTCCTTAGAAGAGAACTTTCCAAATCATCTAGAAGATAGGGCAGCCATAACAAAGCCTTCACTATCTCAGATTAAAGCACCAATTTCAACAAAATTTTCTTTTGAAGAGATACATGCATCGACATTCATTTTGTATTGTCTAGCAGGAAGAGGAACCTAAGTCTTCACTGTGACTAAAAATGGATCAGTGCTCCTTTTGCTAATAACGAGATTAGTTTTTTTGGTAGTCTTTCAAGAACCGAGACGACCATGAAGGAATATGAACAAAATTGTTTCTTTCATTCTAGATGGACCAAAGTAGACATAGAAAGAATTCAAAACTCTCTTTGTTGTATGTATCTTCAGCATGGTAGACAAAATCAATACATGACATTTTTTAGTCTTTCCAATGCTGAGCTGAAAACCAGCAATATCCAAAATTGGTGCAAAAAAATTTGCACCAGATGAGGATGTGCTGGATTGTTTCAAGAGATGAGTTACAACAAGGACAATAATATATGAAGAACTTTCATTCTAAATAGATTTGTAGTTATCGGTAAGGCGTCATGATAAGCCTTCCATAAAAATGTCTTGATTTTTGGAGGTACATTCAAATGCCAAAGTTTCTTCCACTAAATGTTTAATGAAAACGTTGAAGAAGACGAAGGCTGGTCGTCCAAAGAAGTAGCAAGCCAATAAGCTTATTTGACTGTAAAAGTACCTTTTTGATGACAATGCCAAATTAATTTGTCCTCATGAGCAAAATGACTAAGTGGAATGGAAAGGATACATTCAACATCTTCTTTGTAAAAGTACTCATTAAGCATCTGGACATTCCAAACCCTTGAGGGTAATAAAGCCAAAACAATATTAATATAACAATAATATTGAATTTATTTATAAATAAGAAAAAGAAATAGAGGGTAAAAAATCCACAAACTTAATTTTCTCTACTAATGACAACATGAAAAATACTCGTATCACTCTTTTTTCACTTTCTGCATTTATTATTTGACACGTAGACCACACTAACATAACATATTATTATATTAATTGAAAATGAGACAATAAAATCTACGTGTTAAATAGTGAATGCAAAAAAATGACAACGAGAGTGACAAAAAGAATGATGCTTACATTTCTCATGGCAACATTTATTGACTAGCTCAGCAAGCCAAGAAAATATTAATATAACAATAATATTATATTTATGGGAGATTTTCTAGTACGCTTGACATACCGATAGGTCATATTTTTTTAACCGTTAAATCTGCGTACTTTTTAACTTTTATATAATTTTATACAGATTTAACGAACAAAATATCTAACATACTAGTATATTAACGTAGTCCCTAAGGGGGTGGTCCACAAACACAATCCATAAATTATGATAATGCAAATCGCGACTCGAATGTTCTCAAGGGAACAAAATACAGAAGACCAAGGTTCTCTCTTTCTGCTACTTGAGAAGTCATACATAATGGGAGGGGAGCGATCCAAACAAGGGTGGTGAGATCTCAAGAAAGGGTAGCCACAACAACAGCAGAACAAGGTAGTTCTGCAAAGCTACATTGTGAAACATTGACATCTTTGTTGGACAAATAAACTAGGCATTTCAATAAAGAAACTAAAAAAATCTGGAAAACCTTCCACATTGAGTCTTTATTTTCCCACAAAATTTGCTACAAGCAAAACAAAGCTTTGACCTAATGGAAAATTTCAAACTTAGAAACTCCAAGCCAACTTTCTTTGCATCCGGGACCACAGTGGTGCACATTACTCCTACCGGAATTTTTATGGGCTGAACGAGTTACATTGCCGTCGTTTGAGTTCTCAAATTTGAAAAGATGGGAACTTTTTACAACTCAAGGGTCTTCCATAGTTTCTTGATTCTAGAAGAAAAGGGTTGCATTATTACCACTCTAGCCTTTATTTCTGCAAATTATAAACTCGACCCTTGTTTATTAGCATCCAAAGGGCATCCTTGGCTTCTTCTAATGTTTCAACAGCATGTCCATCATCAAATGAAATCCTCTGTATGTTGAACTGCAAATAAATAGAAGGGAAAAAAAAATCAGAATGCAGGTATAGGGGGAGGAGATGTAAAAGAGTTGCTAATTTAACGGAAAAGAGATACCTGTGCACCTTGACGGACCCGAATATCGACTCCCTTGCTGTCGATAGATATGAGTGCTGCATCATCCACCTCGGTTTCAGTGGACAACAACTCCTTTAAAGGCTTTGAAAAGATTGCATTGAGTTCCTAAAAGGATATGGTACCAAATATGATTAATCCCCATGCATTGCTTGATTAGTTTACATGCAAAATCAGTAAGTGCAAGGCAAAATTGTCTCTACAAACCACAACTCGCTTGTTTGTTTCATGTCAGACAGAAGATAAAAAGAAATTAATGAAAGGAAACAACAAGCCTTGCAAAGTAAGTATAAATATATGGTATAAACATATGATATAGATTCAACCAGAAGCAATAACAAATTAAATTATTGTTTTTCCTTTACTTCCTAGTTCCTGTTCTGAGATGGAAAGAATCTAAGTCACCTTTAGGTTCTGCTCTCCTCCATCAACGGCAATCTTATCAGGCTGAATGGCCTCGTATTCCTTAACATCGACCCAGGCGACAGTGCCAAATCCACCAATGAAATATATGTCACTGGCAGCAAGGAGTAAGCAAAATAAGCTTTGAGTGACAGAGATGCATTTACTGCCTATACTTATTTTAGTACAATAAGAAAAATGAAAATCTGCAAATCAACATGGTTCAAATTATGGTAAAAACAACAAGAAAATAAATAAAGTTAGGGCACGAGTCAGGCATTTAACACAACCCGCCACAGAGAAGACAACCTCAATTCACTATCTTTTCTCATTTGGACCCGAGGTAAGTTAAAAATATTGATGTTTTATTGCAACACAGGAATCAAATCTTATGTGATTATTTGTCAAGGTGAATGAGGTGTACAATTTTATGTTAAATGATGTATTGACCAACTTTCATGGCATTATTTATCAAGGTGAATGAGGGAGGTGTACAGTTTTAGAATTGTTACATAGCATATCATGTTTTACACACATAACTGGCAATTCATGCAAGGTTTAAAATGATACTTGGTATGCTTGGGTAGGCAAGGGATGTGGGTGGCCTAAGACCTCTTGGTCTAGTGGCACTGGGGGGTTTGGGTGGGGGTTTGCGGGATTTAAAAAAAAAAAAAAAAGGAAAGGGATGTGGGTGATACCGACAAATCCAAACAAGGGTGGTGAGATCTCAAGAAAGGGTAGCCACAACAACAGCAGAACAAGTTTCGTGAAACTCATGGCCTGTCGAGTGCTAACTGACTTTTAATGCATAAAAGGAGGCCCAAAATAAAGGTTTTTATAGAAGATGCTTTTATGGCTATTGAAAAGATTTTAAATGATGCGTAGCATGATAATGAGCAAGATGGTTTCATTTTAATGAGCATTAGTTCATTATGGTTCTTGGGGTGCAGGTTTCCTATACAGTTGTAGATTTTTCCTAGAGGTAGACTGAGCTCAAAATGAAATCTCATGACGAGCCCACATGAAGTTCTAAAAAACTATTTTTATTATCTATCTCTGGTCCATTAGTAAGGAAACCAACCAAACCTTTCTAAATCTTTCTTACTTATAAGCCCAAAGAAAAGTACAACTTCGGAGATAATAAAAGCCTATCACCATTTCCATATGGGCAAATCAAAAGCACGCAAAAATGCATAGTAAGAGATGATTTGTAACTAACCGAAATCAGATTCAGAATGAGTTCTTTTCTAAGGTTATCAAGAAATTATGTCCCCTAAAGATTAACAAAAACAATAGCTTTTGAATCACCAAATCAAGCATTAACAGAACTTGTTAGTCGGGCATGTAAAATAACAACAAACCTTATGTTCTGCATCCTAAAGTAGTAAAAATTCCCCCACTGTTGAGATGGCCCCTGCTGATGCTTTGCAATGTATTGCTTATGAGCCCACTCCTGAAATATAGCCAGATGTAATGGGTATACTGCTACAAACAACAGTTTCTACTCTCTAGCAAGATTTGAAAAGTATAAAGATTTCAGCGTATATTAAACTAAATTCTTCTTGCAAATAACAACTAATTCTCTCAATTTGTTTATTCTATATTTCTTGTTATGAGAGAATTACATAATCAATAAAAGGAAGAATTAAACTGGGAAAAAAAAGTTATCCAAGAAAACAATAAAGCCTGAAAATAAAGTTCTAAATTTGTCGCTACTATAATTGCTATCTGCTAATTCCAAGAAGCTATTTGAAAGGGAGAAAAATAATATGCATTTGCCAAAGAGATCAATATATGCGTAAAATGTTTAGTCAAACGCCAGTGTTATTCAGAGTCCTTCATAGAGACAAAATTAGCTATATATGCTTAGTCAAACGCCATTGTTATTCAGTCCTTCATAGAGACGAAATTAGCCCTACAGTCATGCATTGTCTATTACAGAAAGTATGGAAAAGAAGTAAAAATAAAAACTTTCTAGTGTTTCTAGGTATTTCAATACATCATTATCAGGGTATAAGTAAGGAGTTACCTGTTGGTGCTCTGGAAGTGGATAGACATCACCAAAGATTGTGACCCTTGCATTTGACAATCCACTCCATCCAGGAATCTGCTATCTAAAGCTTAGTCACCAATAATTGAGGAATAACACTTATAACTAAAGCCCATTAATAGAGACAAGGAAAAATAAAAAGAAGAAAAGAAATTACTAACCTGCACGACTAGTGTGCACCTTGGATCGGCTAACAAATTCCGCGTGTGGATGGCCAATGGCGAAAATGAAAATATAGGATCTAAGGTCAAAATATCATTAAACAAAACAATATGTCAGCGAAGTCAAAATATAAAAAACTATTAACTCCTAATAAATGGTCCATTCAAGGTCCAAGCTACAAACTAAGGGAAGAGAAACTTGGTCCAACACTTCAATTCGATATGAACAATTTGGGAAATTCTTCGGCCACGTGACGAAGAACAATAAATAAAGATTAATGGATTGAATCCTCTAAACAAACTACATGAAAATTTTCAACATTGCTGACGAAAAGTATGCAAGATATACGTTATCAGAAATGTGGTAGACACCTACAATTAAACTCCTCATGCACCTTAGAATGCAAAATACTATAAATCAGTCAGTTAAAGTAGAGAAGTCGACTACTTACGCCCCGATGAATCAGGTGCAAAATCTACCAGAGAACCAAATGGATAGCCTTCACGTCGATGATGCATTCGAGACATTACAGTGCATAAATGAGCAAATCTGGCCTTAAATTTGAAAGAAGACACATTCAGATTGAAGCAAAACACAGAAAAATATGTGCGCAAAGCCACTAACTTTAACATGTAATGCTATGACTAGGAAGAAAGAAAGAAAAAACCTCCCATTAAGATCACAAGACAGATGGCCTTTACCTGCTCCATAAGATTACGAACGGCTAAGGCTGGATGAGGTAAGCCATGAGCTGAAGTAGCACTTTGAACACCCCCAGAAATTGGAGTTCGAAACAATCCAGCTCTTGTTCCACTTGCTCCACTTCCACAATGGGATGTAATAGGGAGGTTAATTTTTGGTGCCACATCAAGTGGATTCTCACTACTTTCACATTGACTTAAATCACCCTTCAGAAGACAAGATTGGCCATTAAAACTCTGAAGTAGCCATTTGATACACCCAGACATTGTCTATTTCATGGAAATGAAACTATTTTACTACATCAAATGGAGACATAGGAGGGCTATAAGGTCATAGCGGATAAAGACACCCTTACTAACATTTTAACTTACTTAGCCCCCTTCGTTTCCCTAGTTAGAATAATAACTCAAGTTTTTGCTATAATGTTTTTTCTCACAAAAATTCAAGTTCAAATTCAACTTTTTCTGCTACAATGTTTTCTCTCATATGAATTACTTTTTAACTCAAGTTCTCAACTCAAACGAGTAAAACAAACAGGGTATTTAAAAGGATGATATGCCCAAACATGATGAAAATATAATTCATAGATGACACCAGTACTCCTTTCCAAGAACCCGGCTAATTATACTCTTTTGGCAGCAGCAGCATATGTAAATGAATGATGAATCTGCCCAACATCAAGCAATCCTTAACACTGCATGCCAAATCTACAATATTTCTTATTACAGTCCAATTAAAAAAAAGAAACAGTTAAAGTGACTTGTGAATTTTTTTCTTAGCTTGTTTAGTTGGGGTTCTCTATTGTTCTTAGGCTGTTGTTTTGTCTTTCTTCGATGTTTTGAGGATTCCCGTCCTCTAAATTTTCTACTTCGTCAATTGTTGGTAATATAACGTATTAATTTTAATGTTTTGATCCCAATCAAAAGAAGCGTAACAGTTAACACAATACACAAAACTCGGAAAACGGAGAGCTGCACCTAGTGCAACATATATGTGAAATTGATATGCGCCAGTCTTTCGTAACACACAACAACAAAAAGAAACACAAGAGCATGGGTATATGTATAACTAATCAAATAAAAAAGGTCTGTAACTGGACTCCAATCTCGCTCTACCGCCGCAGAGAAAGAACTTAAGGCAATCAGAGAAAGAACTTAAAGCAATCACATGGACACAATAACGACATAATATTGCGGCTAACAGACAAAAGGACATAGCGGTCAGAAACATTTACTTCAGGCTGCTGCTAGATTACTTCCCATGAGACCATGACTCAGGATACTCGAGCATCATCTCCCAAAATTTCAAACCCACGGTGTCATAGAGAAGAATCAGCAAGACCTCATATTGCAATAGCCCCATCTCTCAATGTGTACTTGTAAATTGTAATTAGGTATTTTCTAACTTATGCGGTTTTTCCAGGACAAAACACTATGGATTAGGTGGAGCTAGGCACATACCAAAAGACGTGCAGAACAACAACAAGATGACTCGAGCGTTTTCTAATGACATCTCTTGCTAAACCGCAGAAAGGCTACACCAACACTTGTTTTACACAACTTTCTTTTCTAATAAGCCAGGTTACTTGACAAACTATGGGCTGTTTATTAAAAATTTAGAGATTTGACGTTTCTACATTTCACTTGAATGAAAAATTTGCGCTGAATGACACTTTAAACTTGAAAATTGTTTTTATACAGGATATTGCAACCTCGTGAAATTAAATATTTGTTTTTTTATACAACATGGGATTGAGCGCGGCCCCCACCTAAACCACACCTCACCCAAACCCCCCAATGCCACTAAACCAACAGGTCTTAGGCTCGTGAAATAAATATTAAAGTGCACATTTTAGCAGTTTTATCAAGTCCACTTCGAAACCGATCAATATCAAACGTTATGGTATCTTCAAAACCATAAAAACTCATTGCTAAGGTCCCATTTGGTTCCAATACTTGAACTCATAATTCTGACTCTGCTACAGTATTCTCACAAAGAATTTAAATTCAAAAATTTCTCCTCTCATAATATTCCTGCCAATGAATCAAAATCACTGAATGAATCAAACGGACCCTAACAGTATTCTAAAGTACAAAATGTCTTCAACAATAACACTAGAAATTCATTTTCTTTTCAGTTCCCAAACAATTTACAAATGAAATGGAAAGAGCAAATAAGCCGAATTCACAATGCATATCTACTAATCACTGCATACATTAGAAATAGGCTAAGCAGAGTTAAGGCAAAAGTGTTTACGTGAGACAAAGAGACGGTGTCATCGGAAACTAGTCCAAACCCATTATTCAAAGGCTTCCCATCTTCAGTTTCACCGGACCCAGAAGGCTCGCTTGAGACGGCTTGAGCGCGAAGTCTAAGAGAAGTAGAGTTTTCACCGATTTTGAGTGACCCAATTCGCTTATTTGATGTTCTGAAGCAAGAAGTTGGGTTGTTGAGAATTGGGTATTGCTCAGTGAAGTTGGGAACGAAAACAGAGTTTGCAAGGGATTCCATAGAAAAAGACAGACAGAGAGAAGGAGAAGGAGAAGGAGAAACCTAAACAAGGAGAAGAGGGAACAAAACAACTTTTAAAGTAGACACAGAGGACCTGAGGTTCGTGACTGCGGGGGTTTTGAGAGATTCTCTAGGATTTAGTCCCTCATTTTCCTCTCTCATGTTTTTTTTTTTTTTCTTTTTTAAGGAATTTTTCATTTCGGTTATATCGAAAATTTTCTTTTAGTACAGTGAGGAGGTGTTTTAAAACACAAAAAATAAAATTATACTTATTATTAAATATAAAAGAAATTTAAAAAGTCTTGGACTTATAATTAAATGCTTAAATTTCATTATGCCCTAAACATAAAGTAAAAATCCTGATTGTAGGGGTTTAAGATTTTTAAAACACACGTCTTTACACGTTTAGTTCATTAGTTCAAAAATATAATTTAAAATTATTTTCGGTTTACGTGTATTTTTTGTGAGAGAAAACACTGTAGCGAGTCACGAATTATGATCCGAATCATGGCACGAATCCTTACTATAAACGCGTTCAAGTCTTCTTTCGAGAGTATTCTAAGTTAAAAAGTAAATAAAATTAGGCCTCATTCCCTTTTGCGAATTCGAGTTTTCAATTCGAACTAAAATGTGATATTTTCTGAGAGTTTTTAACCATAGTAGAAAAAGTTAGTTGTGACATTTTCTGAGAGCTTTTAACTGTAGAAACTTTAGAATGCCTCATTCCCTTTTGCGAATTCGAGTTTTCAATTCGAACTAAAATGTGACATTTTCTGAGAGTTTTTAACCATAGTAGAAAAAGTTAGTTGTGACATTTTCTGAGAGCTTTTAACTGTAGAAACTTTAGAACTGAAAACTCGAAAAAAAAAGTTAATTTAACATTTTTTAAGAATTTTTAACTGTATAAACCTAAAATTAAAAACTCAAATCGGTAAAATAAATAAGATCTTATACATTATGTTTTGAACTTCGAAGTTAAGGCACGTGATAAGGCGAGTAATCAAGCAAGTGATCCACCCGAGTGATGCCAGCTCTTACTATTTATTACAAGTGGTAATGTAATGCAATAAAAAAAAAAAAAGTTGAATTCTTGTTCTGCTACATATATAGTGTGATATGGTCTCCCATATGATCTTTTATGCATGAATGGCATTTACAAGCAAAACAAAATTGATTAAAGAATAAGTACAATCTTTAATAGCGAAATGAAACTGAAAATTTTGTCCTACTGATATAAGATACAGTTTTAAACCATTAAATCTTTATTAAATTATTATATTTCTAAAAATCTTTTTTTTTTATTTATTTCATACCTACCAGAATTGTTCAAATAAATTAGTCACCTAAACAGAAATATACAAAACTGTGTCGTTTTCTGAAAGGCCCGGCCACAATCATGAATACGTCACTTGCTTATTCTCAAAGGCTTCTTTCTATATATCTCTCAGATCTCAACCTGTCTTTATTTGCTTCGAGATCAAGTTTGTAAGAAAAGTTCTTTTAATAGTTAAAACATCGAAACATATCCACGTCCATCACACTTTTTACTCCTCCAATTTATTATGACCCTGTTCATTTCACTGATTCAAGTTTAAAATTTAAGTTTTATTACAATAAAAAGCTTTTAGAAACAATCACATTTAATTTTTTTGTTACAGTAAAAAACTCTCACGTAAAGGACTGTTACTTTATTTCCAACTGAAGCATCTGTTAGTGACAACTAGTTTTCATTCCTTTTCTCCGCTTTCATAATTATGTTCTCCAACTTCTCCATTTCTACAAACTTAATTGCCTAGTTTTCAACATGCGTTTTTTACAATGAGAAAACTTCACATTTGTTCATTGACCTCAGGTTATTTTCTATGGATTCTGGCATTACTTGCTCTTAGTTTAGTGTTGTTTGGAGCATTGTCAAGATCAAGCCTCAACAGATTTTCAGACAAAGTTGACAAGATTCATCGTGTTCCAATAAAAGCACCATCAAAAGAGAAAGGTTATGCTTATCCCCCTATTCTTGCTTATTGGATTTACGGAACAAATGGAGAGAGTCAGAGAATACTGAGGCTGTTGAAGGCAATATATCATCCAAGAAACCAGTACTTGTTGCAGCTTGATGCTGCTTCTTCAGAGTATGAAAGAGGGGAGCTAGCGCTTTCTGTTCGATCCGAGGGAGTGTTCCGATCATTCGGGAATGTCGATGTTGTCGGGAAAAGTTACGCGCTTAACGAGATGGGATCGTCGGTCCTCGCTGCCACGCTGCACGCCGCAGCATTGCTGCTCAAGATTAGTGCAGACTGGGATTGGTTCATCACATTAACTCCTTCTGACTATCCACTCCTGACTCAGGATGGTAATTCTCTCTTTCTTTCATCCACTTTTTGTTCAAGTCAATAAGTATTAAGTACTAACATAACTAATGTTAAGCAAAAAGATGACTAATGTTAGCATGACTAATGTTGTTCAAGTCAATAAGTATTAAGCAAAAAGATGACTAATGCTAACATGCACATAAATTGAATCTTATGTTTGAGTAAAGTTTGCCAATCGTACTATTATTTAATTTGTCAAATATTGGACAGATCCAACCATTTTCATACATTCAAAAACACTGAAGAAAAATGTTTTATAGCATTTCATTTTTCTCTTCTGGAATTTTCATTCAAATAACCAAATATTTCACCTCCTTTGGATTTACAGCCTACAAAAACTTTTTTTTTTTTTTTGAGAAGGCATTACTATCTTTCTGAAAGTTTTATAATCGATCGCAAATTCCTTCTTTAGTGGGTTTCTACAGTTGGATTTGTTAAGAGTCTTTGGCACATTCTAAATTAACACCATATTCAGTCCTTATAAACTATGCCATGGAGTTCCAAAATGTTGTGGAACTCTGTATATGTGAGAGTTTCTAGTTTCATCAGCATAAGGTAATATTTCCATTAATGAAAAAAAAAATACAGAAATCTGTGTTTTGGAGGCTTTAAACTTTTGTAAAGACCACCATGAGAAATTTATTATCCAATATTACAAATTTGAAAATCGCTTGATTTAATTAAACCCACACATTTTTTATTCTAATTAGGATCCCCATATTCTCTATTACTGTGAATTCTGCAGTTGGATCTTGTTTGGTTTGAGGATTCTAAAAAATTTAAATTTTGTGAGAAAAAATATTGTAATAGAACTTTTTAAATTTAAATTTTTAGTAAGAGAAAACATTGGGTGCGTTTGGAATTGGTTCCAAAACGTTTTTATTTTCTGTACGAAAATGAAAATGAAAACGTTTTTAGTTTCATTTTTGAATTATTTCTAAAAATGCGTTTGGTAGTTTTATTTAGAGATTGATTTCAGTTTTAAAAAAAACTGAAACTGCGTTTGGTGGTTTAATTTTTGAAAACATGTAATAATATATTAAATAAATAATATTATTAAATATA